TATGTATTTTATGTATTGCTATTTATATATATGACATAAATATATGAGACAGGGTGCATGTGTCTTAAAGTGGGAAAAGGATCTTTGCACAGGAGTTAGCAGGGCTCACTGAAAGAGCTTTAAACTAGATTTGAAGGGGGAAAGGGCTAAAACCAGGTTTGCTAGAGATAAGCCTGGGAGCAGCATGCCAAAGTTTGAGTGATGGTGTGCTAGTGAGGTCCTTTGGTCTGTCATCTCAATGGAGGTAGGGGATGGAGATCCATGAAGCAGCAAAGACAGAAGGGTTGTTGATGTGTTAGAAACCACAGAAGTGTCTGAGAATGGTCACGTAAAAATTGGAGCTTCTCCCCCTAAAAAGGTGGCAGGATCAATAGCTCAACTGAAGTGGATCTACACCAATGCACACAGCATGGGCAACAAACAGGAGTTGGAAGCCATTGTGCAGCAGGAAAACTATGATGTAGTTGTCACCATGGAAATGTGGTGGGATGACTCACACAACTGGAGTGCTGTAATGGATGGCTATAAACTATTTAGAAGGGACAGGCAAGGAAAGGAGAGGTGGTGGGGTAGCCTTGTATGTTAGGGAGTGTTTTGATTGTTTAGAGCTTAATGATGGTGATGATAGGGTTGACTGTTTATGGGTAAGAATCAGGGGGAAGGCCAAAAAGGCAGAGATCTTGGTGGGAGTCTCTTACAGATCACTCAACCAGGATGAAGATGCAGATGAAATATTCTATAAGCGGCTGGGAAAATCTCACAATTTCTAGCCCTTGTTCTTGTGGGGGACTTCAATTTACAAGATGTCTGCTGGGAATACAATGCAGTGGAGAGGAAACAGTCTAGGAGGTTCCTGGAATGTGTGTGGAAGATAACTTCCTGACACAGCTGGTCAGTGAGCCAACTAGGGAAGGGACCCCCCTGGAACTGTTTGCAAACAGAGAAGGACTTGTGATGGTTGGAGGCCATCTTGGGCTTAGTGATCATGAAATGACAAGAGTTTTTGTTTCTCGGAGAAGTAAGGAGAGGGGTCAGCAGAACAGCTACCTTGGACTTCTAGAGGTCAGACTTTGGCCTGTTTAGGACACTGGATGACAGAGTCCCTCCGGAGGCAGTCCTGAATGACAAAGGAGTCCAGGAAGGCTGGACGTTCTTCAAAAAGGAAATCTTAAAGGTACAGGAGCAGGCCATCCCCACGTGCTGAAAGACAAGCTGGTGGGGAGGAAGACTGGCCCAGCTGAACATAGAAATTTGGCTGAAACTCAGGAAAAAAAGGAAAGTTTATGACCTTTGGAAGAGGGCCAGACAATTCAGGAGGACTACAAAGATGTCATGAGGTTAGTGACCTGCTACAACACTTATAAACACACAAGCCTATGGAGCCAGATGGGATCCACCCAAGGGTACTGAGGGAGCTGGCAGAAGTGTTCACCAAGTCACTTTCAATCATTTCTCAGCAGTCCTGGCTAACCAGGGAGGGTCCAGTTGCTGGAGGTTTGGAGATTCGTAAATGTGATGCTTATCTACAAGAAGGGCCAGAAGGAGGATCTGTGGAAGTACAGACCTTTCAGTCTGACCTTGGTGCTGGGGAAGGTTATGGAGCAGATCATGTTGAGCGCCATGTATTGGGATGTACAGGACAACCAGGTGATCAGGCCCAGTCAGCATGGGTTTATTAAAGTCAGGTCGTGCTTGACTAACTTCATGTCCTTCTATGACAAGGTGACCTGCTTAGTGGATAAGGGAAAGGCTGTGGTTATTGTCTGCCTAGACTGCAATAAAGACTTTGACACTGTTGCCCATAGCATTCTCCTAGAGAAACTGGCTGCACATGGCTTGGACAGATGTACTTTTTACTGTGTAAAAAACTGGTCGGATTGGCAGGCTCAAAGAGTGGTGGTGGATGGAATTATATCCAGTTGGTGGCCAGTCACAAGTGGTGTTCCCCAGGGTTCAGAATTGGGGCCAGTTTTGTTTAATATCTTTATCAATGATCTGGATGAGGGAATTGAGTGCACCCTCAGTAAATTTGCAGACAACACCATGTTGAGCAGGAGTTTTGATCTTATTGAGGGTAGGATGGCTCTACAGAGGGATCTGGACAGGCTGGATTGATGGGCCAAAGCCAACTGTATGAGGTCCAACAAGGCTCAGTGCCAGGTCCTGCACTTGGGTCACAACAACCCCATGCAAGGCTACAGGCTTGGGCAAGAGTGGCTGGAAAGATGCCTGGTTGAAAAGGACCTGGGGATACTGGTTAACAGCCAGCTGAATATGAGCCAGCAGTGTGCCCAGGTAGGCCAGTAACATCCTGGCTTGTACCAGAAATAGTGTGGCCAGCAGGACTAGGGAAGTGATTGTCCCCCTGTACTCGTTACTGGTAAGATTGCACCTTGAATACAGTGTTCAGCTTTGGGCCCCTTAGTACAAGAAAGATGTTGAGGTGCTGGAACATGCCCGAAGAAGGACAACGAAGCTGGCGAAGTGTCTAGAGCACATGTTTTATGAAGAGTGGCTGAGGGAGCTAGAGCTGTTTGATCTGGAGAAAAGCAGGCTGAGAGGAGACCTTATCACTCTCTACAACTACCTGAAAGGAGGTTGTAGTACAGTGGCTGTCGGTCTCTTCTCCCAAGGAACAAGTGATAGGACAAGAGGAAACAGCCTCAAGTTGTACCAGGGGAGGTTTGGATTGAGTATTAGGAGAAATTTCTTCACCAAAAGTGTTGTCCAGCATTGGAACAGGCTGCCCAGGGAAGAAGTTGAGTCACCATCCCTGGAGGTATTTAAAAGACGTGTAGATGTGGCACATATGGACATGTTTTAGTGGTGGACTTGACAGTGTTAGATTAACAGTTGGGCTTGATGATCTAAAAGGTCTTTTCCAACCTAAATGATTCTATGATTTTCTGTGGTTGTTTTTTAATGGACCTCTAAGTATCATAAAAACAGTTTTATAATTTTATGGACCCATGACTTAAGATGGGATGAAAACCAGTTTGGAACTACCTGTCTTTCTCTACAGTATCTGCATTGACATCTACATTTTGGTTAAAATTAAATGAGATGCACTCACTTTTTGTGTTTAACTATCATTTCCAGAGTCATATTTTTTAATGGAATACTATTCCAAATAAGTGAAACTTCATATGTCACAGTGGCAAAAAGAAGAAAATTAGAAGGAAAAAAACTTTTTTTCCTGCTAAAATTTAGCGCAGTCAATTGCGTATGTGATTGAAAGTACATCACATTTATTGAGAGTTTCTGAGTTTTCAAAATAAAAGAAAACATGTTCACCTATCAGAGGGGATGAGATTCCAATCATGTATTAACCAGCTCAACTATGTACACTGCATAAAGGTTGTGACAATATCTTGTAAAATAAAAGTATCTGATATAATTGATTCTTTTTATTGTTTCATAAATTTGCTTTGTTTGATTGTGGGAGAGTTTGGACTGAATTTTCATTACCTACTTTTGAACAATTTACACTGGGATTGAGACAGTATTGAGCTAATGAGTTAGAATTTATATTGAGCCTTAACTGTCTTCATGAAGTAACTAGGGAAAGAAAATCATGGCAATAATGGAGTATTTTTCATTATAAACTGTTGTACAGCTTTTACAATCAGGTTTTTAATAGATCTAGAGAAATTAAATTGGAATTCTACCAACTTTTGCACTTTTTTAATCCCATGAAAGCGATGTTAAAAAATGTCGACTAATGTGCTAATTCTGTTTCCACTGAAGTAAGGAGGAGGTGGTATCAGTCCTGTTGTTTTTCAGGCCCTGTTCAAAGTAGTAAGATCTATATAGAAAAACATTGAGAAATATGCACTTTGCTGTAATCCCTAACGCTAAACAGAAATTGAGAATAGATTAAATAGGTCTGAATTGATGTAATCCTAAAGTCCTTATCAAGAGAAATTCCCATGTAAATAGTGGAAACTTTCAATGTCAGGAGGATGATATTATGCTCTATATGAAAAAGGAAGCAAACACATATTGCTGATAGGTATATTAATACTGCTGAGAATGCATGCATATATACATATTTATTAATACATTCAAACTTTATTTATTGATTGTATATGGTAAATAAACTCATGCAATGAGTGTATAGATTATTTTGTAGGCGTAAACATACATATCTCAGTCTCAGCATTATACATAAATATGCACCATGAATAAATCATCAGATTAGAAGATTTTAAATTTTTCATTATATCTAAATGTACAAATTAATAATATTACATGAATTTTTAGTATTGTCCTTTAATGTTATTCTTCTGTTTAATTCTGTGGGTATTTTTTATGAGGAGGTCTGCAATAGTGAAAAGAGTATTTCTCAAATATATGAATTATTGCTTGTCTCAACAATTATTTGTCTGCATTCTTCCTTGCTGTTAGTCCGTTCCACTACCAGAAGACGCAGAAATCTATTAATAATCCCTTACATTTTAATTAATAATATGAAATAAAAATTGAATACACAAAACAGAATCATCAGCCAAGCACATATGCATGCATATTGGTGCCCTCAATAAATTAAATTTTAGTTACTTTCTATAGTGCTTATTTATTCACAAATAAGAACTATGACTGTAGTTTAAATTTTAATTGGCATAACAGGCAATATTATTTTTTAGTCCTTTTTCAGGAAAAAATATTCTCTTACTAAAACAAATGCCATATATACCTTTACTTGCAAAGAATGGCACAAATATATGTAAAATATACATCAAGCACAAATTTCATGTGAATGAGCACAACTATAATACTTCTAGGTTTGTGTTCTAAAAATTTTAAAAAGTTATCCTTACATATCTCTTTCAGAGGATGGAAAAAATAACCCTAAAAGTCCTTCCCCACCCACATACTTAAAAAAAAAAAAAAAAATGCCACTTGCAAAAAAGGTTAGATTGCTGGCCTTGCTTGCAAATTGAGACGTTGAAAATTTGGAGTCTTCCTTCATCCAAATAATATATATTCATTCCCCACAGGCAGCAGTGATGGTTCTTGGGATAAAGAAAAACTTCAGTCTCCCCCCACCCAAGGATCACAGGCCTCTGTTAACCACCCCAACTTGCCTGGACAGCATAATGTTCCAGTTAGCCATCCTCTCAACCCTCTTCAACAGAACCACCTTCTGCCAAATGGTACGGGTTGACATCTTTCAGCACTAACATCAGCAGTTTTCCAATTCCTGTCTTTTTGTGTTTATATAAATAGGGTATGAAAAATCAGAGATGTGGGGAATATTGGAATACTTCCTTTAAAGTGTTAAGCAGGGGAAGCGGAGACAATAAAAAACAAATACATATGCAATAAAATTTATATTTAAAATACCTGCTAACCTGTGCATCAGTGGCATAATAATGTATTGCTAAGGCACCTTACAGCAGATATTAGAAAAAATAATAAACAGCCATTGCTTAGCAATGATATCATACATTACACTGATATGAACAAAGAAAGAGGTCTAATAGCCTCTCCTTGTGGCTAGGAACCCTCCATGATTGTTAGTGATTTACCCATGCATATCCCAGAACAGAACTGACATAGAGCTACTTCGTCCTGCAGTGCGAACCATCTTGTCACCCATCACTTGAATATTGTCCACCAGGAGAAAAAAAAAAAGACGTTTCAAAAAGATGCGTAAACCTATTTCTGCTTTTTTTTCCCCCGGCAGGATTGGAACTTCCTTTTATGATGATGCCCCACCCATTAATTCCTGTGAGCCTACCTCCAGCATCTGTCACGATGGCAATGAGCCAGATGAACCACCTTAGTACCATCGCCAACATGGCGGCAGCAGCACAAGTGCAGAGTCCTCCATCCAGAGTTGAGACATCTGTTATTAAGGTAACTATATGAAAAAAAAACAAAACAAAACAAAACAAAACAAAACAAACAAACAAAAAAAAAAAAAAAAAAAAAAACAACAAAATCACACACACAAAATTATGTCACACTCACAACTGTCATAAATATTAAAGGTGGGTAGATGTTAAATGTTACGAGGTAAGTCATAAAGTCAGTAGATATGAGAAACCCAACTGTTGTAGCTCTGGGAGCACAGTAGGCTGCTGGTGGCCAGTGTTACCTTCTTAGTTCTCCTCCCCCTCTCTAAATTGATATTAAAACAGTGCTCAAGTTGAAGCATTCAGCTTTCTGATTTCTCATATTTCATAGTCTGTAATCTAATGACAACATTCCTCAAGATACCAAAGAAGAGATTACTCCTTTCTTAAATTAGAAGAGAATGTTCTTCCAACTTTTAATTCTAAGCATTTGAACTGAAATGCTGCAAAGTAGCTAAAGAAGGCTGAAAGGCTTCATACTTTACCACTGCAGAAGCTAAACTGCCAAATCCCAGAACAGAATGGAACACAGTTGCACAGAACAAACCTAGTAATCTGAAGGCCACAACTGTAGTATTGTAGAGATACCTCAAAAATATCTGATATCTGAAATTGTCTATACATTTTAGGTTTTGTTTGCTGACTATTTTTAAATTACTCTGGTTGTAGCGGTATTTAGCAGAGGCATGGAGTCTTCTCTCCTGACTGAAGATGATAATTTCATTTTAAATGCATTAGATATTTATAATTTGATTTGACAATTATTCAGATATATACATTTTACCTGTTATCCTTCCTTAGTTCTAATAAACAAGAAACAGAAAGTAGACAAACTTCTATGTTTTTATGTAATATTCATATGTTAGAAATAGACATGTGAAGGCAAAGTTATTTGATATTTTAGGGCTATGTTGGAAATCTGTCCATTAGTGCAATTCTTTTGACAAAAAAATGGGTAAACTTAAAATCTCCTGGACTTTCAAATCAAGAGTTGCAAAAGTTGTAAAATTCATGATGATTTAAACAGCGTGAAGAGGTCTGACTTTATTAAGACATTCAACATGCTTGTCCTCCTGTCCTCATTAATGTAACAAGCCCAGAATGATAATGAACCATTCAAAGTCAACAAATCTATGTTGCTATTGACCTAGAAAAATACAGTCTGATGGCCTAATTTAGATAACTGCACTTTCAAATGTAGGATCTCCTTTGTAGACCTTCAGTGGCATCCCTTTCTTACCTTTGATGACATGGGGAGGTAAGACATTGGTTTGAGAATAATTGTTTCTTTAGGTGCTGTGTCAGCAAGGCTAGGTTCCACCCTAATGTCCATTTGCCTTTACCTCGCAAACATAAACACTCTGCTGCTAACTGATTACATGGTGATGTCTGCGCCTTTGTTTTTCTGTTTTCACTTGATAAGTATTTAGTAAGAGTTACATGATACTAAAGTTCTCTGAAGCATGCATGGTGCTCTATTTCGTTCTAAATTTATTTTGTTAATTGGAGCAGTGACCACTGGTATTACAGAGGTATCTAAAAAATAAAGATTGGGATGGAACACATGCTAAGTATGTATGACAAGTATGAATTAATATGTCAGCAAAACTCTGTTTTCACTGTTTTTCCTACTATTCTCCCTTCTTTAATATACTGTGAGCTATTAGATTTCGTATCTAAGAATACAAAATACAACTTTCATGAGCATTGATAACCTTCTGTTTCTAAACTTTGACAAGCTGACTTCTTGCTTGTACAGTTGGTTTACAAGCTAGTTCTATCTATTAAAGTTGCCTAAGTTACTGTGGCCTACATTTAAATATGTCTATGGGAGCATACCCCAATGTGACCCCTGATCTTCGTCTCCAGTTGCCAAAATCAGGTATATTTGAAGTACAACATAGCTCCTAGGCTATGTAAAAAAGGTTTCCTTTCATGGAAAGACAGTCCTTGTGTGTTCACAGATCTCACCCCATTGTGGGAACATTGCTGGACCCAGGAAGCACTTAACTGAGAAGCACTTCTGGCTCATCTGATCTAAACCTGTCTAGTATGTTTAAAAGTATTAGACTCTGAAAGGGATACTCGGTCATCATTTAACTATGTATGTTATTTTACCTATAGGCAGTGCCATATCAGAAAATTTTGCTTATCCCAGAGTTCCTTAACTTCTTAACAAGTTCATTCTTGTAGCTGATCTAGTTGGAAAGATAGTTTCATTATAATCTAGGTAAAGATTTTGAAAGTTCCTAGCAATTTTGGTTCTCTGTTTGAAACATTTTAGCACCACTTTATAACTGGAAAATCATATATTTTTCCAAAATCTTGCTTACTTAAGCATTTGTTTGTATTAATAATCAACGCTGTTTATCTGTCATGTCTGAAAATTCAACTGTCTTCTATTTGTGCTAATAAAATCTTAATCATAGCTTCCAACTTTTGCGCAGCTCCTGGCATAGCATCTCGTGCAAGTTATTTAACAAACCAGGTTTCATGTTCCCATCTGGTTTTCAAATAACCATAAATTAAAAAGATGTGGATTTACAATTAAGTGTTTCTAAATGGAGAAATTAACCTAAGTTCTATTTAGAAAGGTGTGCTCACTCAAAGGCCAAATATATATTTTTTAAAGTTTGCACAGTTAAACTAGAGTTTGGGACATATAGGTGGAACCTGATGGAGGCTCTACCTAAGTGTTGCCGACTTCTTCAATCAAGGCCTGTGACATATTGCCCACAATACATTTGTACTACATTATACTACAGATAAATACATAAACACAAGTGTTAATCCGCCATCCATAATTCACTTCTAAATGTAAGATCTTGCTGCAAATAGTTATTTCAATAACACTGTAAGGGATGAGAAACTTATTCTCACAGGACTTCCTTACTCTTTCCTTCAGCCCCTTTGTGGCACAATGTATGTCTAGATTTATGTCCTCTGGTTTTGTCTGTGGCAGATGAATATGGTCATGTGGATAGAGATAGCATGGACAAGTAATTATGTTCCTATTCTGTAATACTGAACAGGATTGAAACATAAATGCCAGCAACAAAAAAGCATAAGAACATTGTTATGGGAATTTTCTTCTCATGAGCATGGACATAATGTCACTGTCAATTTACCTGTTCCTCATTAAGCATAGTCAGAGGCTGTGATTTTAAGTGTCCATTCTATTACATACACTCAGTAGTTGAGCAGGCAACTCTCTAAGCAGCATAATTTTTGAACCTTGCACTGCCAATGTAAAGTTTATGAGTAATAACTTACAGTACAATCAAAATAAATATCATAGAAAATAGATGTGAGAAGGCTAAGCCTCCTTTATTTTTGCAGGAATGGATAAATACTGCAGTTGCTCTCTTTCACAAAACTGTTTGTTATTAGAATCGTATCTTCCTTTTGTTTTTACTGCTACATTTTTAGACTTTTTTATTTTGTTTTCATTATCTTTGGGCTCATTTTTTTAGCCCTAATTTTACTTATATGTTTTTCTTCAGTGACAAGGTTTCCACAAGTTGATTTGAAAAGTTTGTGAATCACTCATTTTGGAGCTCACAAATAGAATTGTAGTTGAAATGTAGTTGAAATGACAGCGTAGATTTGAAATTAGAGTACAAGATTTTTACAAGTTTAGACTCCACTTGAAAATTAGAAGAGCTATGACATATTTCTACTCTGAAAAGTAAATCAATAGTGACCTTCTCTGATTAAGTAACAAAGACAAAATTAAGACTTAGAAAATCTGAGTCTTCAGATTATAAACAACCTGGTTCATTGGATGGAAGAATTGCCTTTGTGAACAGTGCCACTGTAGATGACTGGCTGACCTTTCCTTCCAATTCACCAAGCTCACAGTTAGTATTGTTATCTTTAAAGTCACAAAGCTTCAAATGCCTTTCTATTACTGGGCAATATTTCATTTCTTCATGATAAGAAGTTGGAATAAAGCTGAGATCATGTACTAACCAAACATTTTATCCTGCTATGGCTCAGAAGCTGAGACAAAGACAAAATTACAAGGGAAGCCTTACAAAGCAACACCTTAGATTTGGCAGTGAACTCCGAGCTCTAAAATCTTCAGAATTATATTTCAGAAGAGTGTTGTGCCCTTTTGAACATGAGACGAACATTAGATGTCTTTTTCTAATGGAATGTTTAGATATATGAGTTGGATGAATAAGAGGAGAGCAACAACAAGCAGGGACAGCAGATTGTGACAGCAATGAATTGCAGTGAGTGTGACAGCTGTGACCTGGGGATGCTTTAGACATGAGGTGGCTTTCATCACCTGCCCATGGTTTCAAAGACTCAGCTTGTTAGCAGTTTCACTACATCATTTTTTTTTTTTTACTCAGCAGAAAGAGATATGAAAATATAAAGGACATAGCTCATATTAGTAGCAACTTGAAATATTTCTACATTGTGAAAGTTAGAACAGAGCAGCATGCCAGAATCAAAAATTGCACTTTATCCATACAAAGTTACTAATACTTATAGAAAGAATTAAGAATAAAGCAGAAGAAACCAATACCTCCAGCTGAAAAAGTGACCAGTAGCACAGTAGTTCTCCACTGCATATTAAATACAGGAGACTAAATTTTGCTGATTCTCTAAATATATCACAGCACTGGTTGCATTGTACTTGTTTATAACTTGTTTCTCTCCATCTCTCTCTCCCTCTCTCTCTCTCTCTCTATGTCTTCCTGTTATCCAATAGCAGAGATTTACTATTAATTTATTTAACCGTGGTAGCTGGTGACAGAATTTTTTTAAAACTCTTCAGTTTATAGGTCTATTCTGACATGAAATTTTATTTTAGCCTTCATTCACTTTTTCTTTTTGCATTGGCAATATGTGTGTTCCAACTGTTGTAATTTTTTACCTATAATTGTTGCCAAAAAGTTTAAATAATAGCCAAAGAGAAGAAATATGACACTGCCATACATAAATGATAGGACAGAGTACATTTAAATGTCTGATGTCAGAGTCATTGTG